TTACTGTTTATTCAGGTTTTTTAAGGTATCTAATATTTTGATACTTAATTTCCATGATCTAAATATTCTTAAAAACTAAAAGTTTGTTGTCCTTTGGAAGTGTGTAGGCCTTCTTGTATTATTATGCTGTTACATTATGATTATATATTCAGTGGCATAAAATGGTCTTTAAAATGACAATAATACTGCTTTTCACAATTATTTCTGGGGCAATATATCGCACAACAAAAGGTTGTTATCGTGACAGGCCTATTTGCGGATCTGTTCACCCCAATCCCTCTGTAACTGGCACAGCTTTGCAGAAAATTACAGACAGTTAAATACATATTCCCTACCTTTTTTATGCTACACCACAAGTAACAAGGGAACTTATAGTAATGTTAATATTTAGCCAGTCCCCAAACCCATTCACTCAAATGGCTTGGATGCGCGGAGCATTCACAGCTTGCCCTGTTGAAAAAAACAGCATATGCTGGTTATGTTTTAAAGCGTGGCAGCAGGTTTGAGCTGGTCCTGAGCTGGTTATGAGCTGGTTTAAGCTGGTCATGGTCAACTACAGTGTGTGCATAATTATTAGGCAAGTTGATATTCTGATCATATTTTTTTCCAAGCACATTTTACCAATTCCAAACCACATCAATCTTAATAACTTCTATTAATTTTGTATGTAATCATTTATAAGTGATATATAATTGTCCATGAAGGCTGGAAGTGAAAAACTCCTTATATTCAGGTGTGCAATGATTATTAGGCAGGTTTTCTTTTACAGATAAAATGAGCCAAAAAAGAGATTTAACTCAGACTGCAAGTCAAAAATTATTAAATGCCCATGAGAAGGATGCAATACTTATGCAATACTAGAATTTGCAAAGTTAAGGCATGACCATGGGACAGCGAAATGCTCACTGGGTCAACACAGTCAGAAAAAACAAGAAGAAAAGACACACGTTAACTGCAAAATAATTAGGTGAACCATTTAGCTCTATCCATTTAATCTCTCTCAAGGAAAAACAAATCTCATTCTAAGTTTGACAGTCTACTTCCCTATCCTCTAATTTACTTGGAGCTTTGAGAAAGACTAAAAATAATGTCTGACAGATTCAGCCCATCCACTTTCTAAAGTGTCAGGCCAAGACACGGTTTAAAATCAAGTTGCTCTTCTAAAGCCAAGCGCACACTTAAAAACTCCTCGTCTCTTGTTTTCTGTCATGTTAGTGCATGCGTTACACAACTGAATGCAGACTAGCCGTGCTGGAAACACTGTCTTAGTGTTTTAGTACAGTGTTCTGTTTGAATTAGTGGATGCATTCCTTGTTAACGAAACATCATGAAAATCATTCGGTTCTGGAACCAGTTCTGAACAACAACCGGTTCTCAGCTCACAGCCCTACTGAGGGCAGCTAAAGGACAGTGCAGACAGACATGGGGGGGCTTGTGGAATCAGCCCAACCTCTAACTTATTCTAAAGTTTACACAGCCGGCAGACCTCGGCCTTCACACCTCCAACTGGCCCCACCATGCAGCTCTCAGTTAAAGCAAATGGAGATGAAAAGCTCCTGCAATGAGCTGCCTGGGATGAACAACATAACACTGACATGCCCTTTAGAACAAAACAAGCCTACAGCGTGCAAGTGCAGGCACGACCGAAGAGGAGATGCCTTTGAAACAGGTGTGAGTGTGTTTGTGTGCATGTAAAGGGTTCGTGGGAAAATGGGTGACTGAGTAATTCTCGTAGTCTGACCAACCCTCTACAACCTTTCTCACACTTTCACACAAATTGCTTTCAAATTACGCAAAAGCTGCCTGTGAGCCAGTCAAAGCCTACCTCTGCACACATCTGTCCCACAGATTGATGCTCTTTTTCTCTTCGTACACTATCAGACACTTGCTTGTCTTGACAGATACTCACTATGACACACACAGACCCGCTCTGCCAGGAATCCTGTTCGCCTGAGGACGCAAGGCTTGGGAAGGGTTGCACCAAACGTTTGTATGTTCTTTCTTAAAATGGGCATTCTCAGCAGGGGTTTAGCAGCTACTAGTTTTCTGTAAATACCTCTCTGGTAAATTTGGTTGCATCGTTTGCTTTTAAAGCAAAACTAGGTCGTAAAACCTCAGTGAAGTAGTGTGTAATCATATAATATGACATTTACCTTTACTGATCCAATGAGCAGCCGAAAAAACTGAGCATTTCAGTCTTACCCATGTAACTCTTATTGGTAATAAGTCAAATTACCATATACATTTACATTTACATTCAGTTAGACTTTTAGTAGATGCTTTTATCCAAAGTGACTTAAGGAAAGTCACAAGCAATTTGTCATATACAAGCCAACAAAATTCATAGTACACAATCCCAAATTTAAAGTATAGAGTTACAGTAGTAAGTGTCTAAATTATCATGAAATGTAATAATAATTTTTTAATACTTTACATTTAATTACAATATCTAAAATGAATTAAGGATGATCAATAAATACTAATACAACAAAATTTGATATTTATTCTTTTAATTTAATTTAAATTTTTTTGTTAAAGAGCCGCAAAGAAATAATTTAATCACATGATGTTTTCTTTGTGCTCAATATAACTGAGCACAAATGTCAACATCCTCATATGCTGTATGTCTAGGAATTAAGTCACACCAAACATAAGCTCAGTGTAATTCAATAGATCAGCCATTTTATTCCAACCGTTATTCCTACATCATATATATGTACAGTATTTTTCAAGTGCATTGAGTGTTATGAAGCTCTGATGTCTAGTACTGCGTAAGTGTAGTACTGTGTCACATACTGCACACCTGCCATATCAGGGGCCTTAATGGGACCAAGACTGATGCTGTATACTGATATTCAACCGAACTATTCACTCTCATTCAAATGATATACAATGATATTCTATTACTAGATTACTTAGTGTACTGTTCATTGATATTCTATTATTCTGTTATACTACTATTCACTGTTTCGACTGATCACGAGACATTTGGACTGGGCAGCCAGGATATGACCTATGTGCCTGTCATTGCTTTGTCTGTGATGATCAAATACAGATTTAGGACTAATTTGAAAGCATGTAAATATGGTGTAAAATGACATGAAAATGATGTAAACGTTATAATGGCTGTTGTATATTTCAGCCATAATAGTGGTGTGATTTTAGATGACTATGACTGTTTTCAGGTTAGTATCACTCAAATGTAGCTGCAATTAATATATTTCTGACTTCCATAGCCTACAAGTACTAATAAATATAATTCTGTATTAATCTTTATCTATCCAGGCATATTAAATATATTTTTATCATGTACTTTAGAAACGTTAGATTACCTGACAAAAATATCAGATGTAGGCTACAAATACCGTCCTAACATCAACAGATTAAAAGATGCAAGTTGTCTGACCATTTGGCATCCGATTATCATATGTCTGCATTAATGATGGCTGCATGGCTCTTGGCAGCTGCAGAAATATTTATGACAGACAGCCAACCTCTTTCGTCGTCTCTATGCAACCGGGGTTATCTGAGCATTCATCTGAGGCCTTTGCTGCAGAAATGATGCAGGTGGCATCAGAGAAAGAGGAAAGCACAACACACATCTGCTGCTGGCGCATACATGTGTTTTCATTTTGGTGTAACCATATTTTGAACATTTAAGTTGTTTACCAAGGGCAATCAAATTTTACAGGTATTTTCGGGCGTAATCTTTTCAAGTCTTGCGCAACGCAAACTGTACACTAGTACCACTAGTACAAATAGCTTCATACAGTTTCTAACAATTTTTTTTAAGACAAAACACTTTTTTGTAGCGTGTTTGCTATTTAAATATATGATAAATATTAAACTTGTTATATTTTCTCGAGTATCAACGTATTGTTCCATACTGATAACAATGAAAAGTTGCGTACGGTTGTTATGGTTGCCTCCTCAGGTTAGGCAAATTCTGTTTGCTAGCATCTATTTGGCAACAGGTGATGCCTCCTCTGACTTGTAACTTAACTTTTGTAGTTACTGAAATTTTAACAAACACTGAAACGCAAATACACTTGTATATATAAACAATAAGGACTCTT